CTTTGTCGTGCGACAAAAGTCGATCGTATGCGAATTTATATCCTTATTTGGCGCATGTGCGTGATGTGCGAATTATATGTAATCTTACGAAAAAACAGAAATAATGTATATTTTTATATTTTTTACTTTGGTTAAATACTTGTTGGCTTTTGGCGCCCCCCTAACACCGGCGCCCAGGGCCTAGGCCCCTTTGGCCCCCCCCCCCTTTACACGGGGCTGTTGTGAACATCTTACGAATAAATTTTAGAATGAATTTTATTTTAGAATGAAAAAATTTGGTTCTCATCAAAATCGATTCCTGAAAGAAGCTATTTCCATGTCAATCAAATCTGCTTTCCGCTAGATAGTAGAAAAAGTTGTGTCTGCAACAAAAATTCATTTGTAATTTTGTGAATAGCAACAACGACGACGATAACGATGATAATAATAAATATTCTATAAATGAGTGTTTAATTATCTATAATATTAATATGTAATTTCATAAAATTTCATTACAATCAAAAAGTTATTAAAACTAATAACATCAAGTTAAAATAAAAATAAAGATACTGATATTTTCATTTACACAGTACATTTTTCAAATTTGACAATTATTTAAAAAATCGATTTCTTCGAAACTATGGGCCAATGGCTGAAACGGCCGGACACGTATCGTTTTTTTTTCGCCTCAAGGCTTCAAGAACAGCCTGTAAAAAGCACTCATCAAAATCCCCGACAATTAGAAATATGTGTTAATTTAACGTATCATAAATGCTAATTATACTGAAGAAATATACTTCCATAGTTTGTATACAAACTGATAGCATTATCTTTTTTGTGATAATTTTATTTACACAATATCTGTTTTCCAACATATTCATTTTATGTTAAATATTATAAATACAAAAATTTGAGTGGACCGTTTGGGACATGTGAAACGTGTTATATTCGATACAAATTTCTCAACTATGTACGCTATTATATTATGAGAAAAAATTTTAAATTTTTAGTACTTGCTATGTAACTACAATTAAAAATTATAGAACTAGATAATTTGATTCATGTTTACGATATTTTTTTACAGCCTATTTTATTTTAAATATGTTATGCAATGCGTATGAGCACTTCAACATGTTACGTATGATTTGTTGTCGATTAAACATTGAAGTAACTAAACGTATTCATTTATAGGAATCTTTTTCATCCTGCCGTGCGTGGACAATTACGCCCGCGTTGATTTGCGAACACGGACATATGACGTACCCCCGCAAGAGGTAATTGTACGCAATCCTTATTATAATAATCGTAACTTGAATTTGAACATTATATTCTTATTAATGTGTATATTCTTTAGGAAATATATTAAATATAGAATATCGATAATATAAATTTATTTATTTAAAATAAAGAATTCAAAGGTTCAATAAGTATAAAACAATATTAGTAATAGAAGGGCATCGAACCAGTAAATATATATGTATAATAAGAAATTCAAATATAA